AGCTTTATTCTCTTGAACCATAGTCCAGCAACAAAATATACAGACATTTTGGCTATCCCTTATTTCTACATAGATATAACACCAATGTTGTTCATAATGATCAACGCCTACATTTTTAACTGGATGAATATTTGCTTGAATAAAATCCTGTCAGAAAATCAGATCTTCACAATCGGCTAAATAAATAAATCATTTGGGAGGATAGCTTACCAGTGATTGACTGGATGAAAAACAAATCACTTATTTGACAAGAATTAAATTTTTTTGCTAAATGAAAAACCGTTCACAATACAAACAAAATGTAGCAATAAGAAAAGACTCATTTTTTGTTAAGTCAAAACGAAATACGTCTATCAGTTTATTGGGATTCTGTAATGCAATCATCATACAACACCCTTGTTACGGTAATGCTACTTTTTTTTCTTCTTTTTTTTTGTACGTCGGAATTCCAAAATGATAGATTTTGTTCTTTTTTGTGTCATTATCACCAAACAAAAGTCTGCTTGATTTCTTTTGCACGTCGTTTTTGTTCCAAATGGTGTGGTGAACAGGATGGGTTTTATATCACGTCGGTGGTCACCAAGTGATATGGGATTACTCACATCATACCAGCAGGGATAGCCCCGTGTTCACAGGGCTAAAAAAAAACATACAGAGAAATAACACTAAAAGCATGTTAAATTGTAAATTAAAATCATACAATTTTATCTATTTTTCTCGCACTTCTCGCTTGTGGAACTCCATGCCGGCTCCATGCCTTCCAGCCAACTTTAATCTGCAAAATTTTTAATGCAATGTCAATCACTACCTACTGTCCTCCGGATTACTCTTTTCTCTTCTCGCTCATTATTAATGTTTCTGTTCCTAATTCTTCTCCACCCTGTAATCCCCTTGTGTCTTAGTGGCTTTGCTGCCTTGCATGTGGTGATACCTGTTAAAAAAATAAAAAAGTAAGGAAACATTTCTTGTAGCTGGGTGTTCAAATCACGTAGTGGGAGGAGGTCTGGTTACCACTTCTAAGGGAAAGGGCTTACTGACATTCGCTTGTAATTTTTTACAAACTCAAAAAGATTTTTTTTAATCATTTCACCCCAAGCATGGTGATAACACTACTAGGACGCTGGTAGTTTTTTGAAGATTTAAAAAAATATAATATCTAGCCGAATTCATTTAGAGTCTTTTTCTTTCCATCATTTTTGTTAGTAGGTATTCCATATCTGCTAGATATGGTGAACTGTAAGAGCCAGAGCGCATTTTTTTATATACAGAATTAGATGTAACAACGTTTAGAAAAAAGAGAAAAATCCGTGAACTCCTAGCCTTCTCCTGTGAGTGAGAAAGTGAATGACAATATGATTATTTGAGAATTGTGGTTCGGTTGGGATAAAAAGTCGGTTCATTCGGGGATAAAGAAGTCTTCCCGGAGGGTAAACGAAACACGTCTTGTTACTGTGGGTATAGCGCCGTTGAAAACCGAATGAAGAGAAAAAATAAAACAGCGTCTATTTCTTTTTCTACTGCATTTTTAGAACGCAAACCAATGAGCGTTTAGAGAAATTTAATCTCACATCTTTATTCTCTTGATCCATAGTCCAGCAACAAAATATACAGACATTTTGGCTATCCCTTATTTCTACATAGATATGACACCAATGTTGTTCATAATGATCAACGCCTACATTTTTAACTGGATGAATATTTGCTTGAATAAAATCCTGTCAGAAAATCAAGTCTTCACAATCGGCTAAATAAATAAATCATATGTAAAATGGTAGTAGGTAAAACCTCGACTGAGATCAATAGTTTCAGCTTTGTGAAAGACAATTAAACATCGTCGGTTCAGTTGTTTATTGCTTAGAAAAGTATGGAGTTGCAGATGTTCTGAATCAGTAATTAGCGTAAGTTTCGATCGGACTGAATCTTGATTAATTCTTTCAACATGGAGCAGTTCTCGCATGTTGTCACAGGTCAATTCGTATTGTAGTTTCTTTTCTAATAAATACTGTTTGAAAGCCAGGAGAAAGAACCGAACACTTGCATAGCGAAATGAATAAACTTGTTTTTTACAAACAAATCGCGTGTTATTTTAGAATTCAAACTAAGTTGATCGACTGTAAATTAGACTGTATCAAATGATACACAAAGAATTGGGTGTCATAAAATTTGTTTTTAGGATGACCCAAAACTCGGGGAAGTTTCTTGCATAAAAATAGATTCTCTTAACAATGATGAAGCTGAAATTGAATGAATATGAACGATTAAAATTAGTTATACCAATAATAATTGGAATGCTGATATGATCGAGGTACAGACAAGAAAATTAACAAAATCCTTGGTATAATAACACCAGAACCAAGTCCCCAGGAATTACCAGGCAAACATTCTAAAGAATGGTGCTGAGTCAATATAGAGATTAAGTGAAGAACATGTTGGAACTATTGTCTGTTTAGTCTCTGACTACAATCACGACACTGAAAGAATACAATGATTGAAATGACATGATTGGGCAGTATAACTCACTGGAATATATGTATTAGTATTACAATGCAAGACATGCCAGAAAATGGTATGTACATATCCCTGAAGACGTCATAAAATGACAAGAGGTTGCTATTCATACTGACAGACGCATAAACATCTCATAGACCATACGTTGTAATTAAAGGTAACAAACAAAAATGCTTTCTCATAGACATGAAAATGCTATCGGATAAAAATTTAGCTGTTAAAGAATATGACAAAATTAATAAATATAAGGATCTTGAAATTGAACACGAAAAACAGGGTCACCTTAAGACTAGTGATATACCAATATATAATTGCAGAACTGGGTACAATCAAGAAAGGAAAAGGAATATTTTAACAAGGTTCTTGGTAGCTCTTATTTACAAGAGATAGAAAAAATACAGCATATTGAATTGCTCACCTTATCAGGAGAGTATTATCAGTGCAAAGAAGATATTAATGTTGTACATATTAAGTATTATTTAAGATCAGAATTCGTGTAAGCAGAATGTATATATTTACAACCTTGCCTTAAGCTAAGTCTTGGATAAACATCCAGTAAATGGCTGGACTAAACAGAAAGCAGAAGACGATAATAAAAATAATAATATGGCAAGACAAACCTCTTTATGGTCAATACTCTGTCCGTGCAGGGTTAAAAGCTCGAATAGAAGGTTTTATTCTTTTTCACAGGACTAATGCTTGCTAAATGGAAATTATCAAGCAAATATACTGAAAAATTGTGTTGATCCCAAATGCAGATTCTGTTATGGAATCTCCAGAAACAAATGAACATCTAGTATCAAGTCGAATATAAAACTTGGCATGACAGGGTGGGCCAATATCTTCACTGGAAAATCTGCAACTTTTACGAGAAGGACACTGCAAAAAATTGGTATAAATCCCACCCAGACCCATCTGATCGCCTAGACATCGTTATAAAAGATCACAAAAACAGAATTTGCTTTTTTATAGACATGACAGTTCCTGCAGACTGTAATTGAGCTTGGGTAAATTGATGTCGGAAAACGTTTTAGGATAAATAACAAAAAGACAACATTTATTAAGAGCTACAAAGGAAAGGAAATTGTGGAGAGACATGATCGCCTACGTCATGAGGGGATACGGCACCACCACCACCACCACTACCACCACCACAAGAAGAAGAAGACGAAGTAGAAGAAAAAGGAGAGCAAAAAATAAGAAGAAGAAGAAGAAGAAGAAGAAGAAGAAGAAGAAGAAGAAGAAGAAGAAGAAGACATCGTTTTAAGTTGGGTTGGTTAAAAGCTTGTCCTGCTTGATTTCATTTGATACGTTTAGCTTTTATTCCATTGAAAAAGATCGCTTAGGAAATTCATCTCGTGCTCTTGTTAAATGAGAATATTTTCGTTTATGGGTTCTAACATTAACTTTCAGTCTGTTTTAGACTTTGAAATCCCTCTTTTCTCATTATCTTCATTTAACTGTCTCTTCCTGATACTAAGCGGGGTGGTAGAAACCTGTTAGGCTCCCAGCTATAGGCAAATAGTTAACCCCCAAAACTGGAGTTAAAATACTATAAAATTTTAAAAATAGGTTTTAATACCAGCAATACATTTTTGGAAAAATCATTACGAGCAATACCTTTTTGAAAAAAATACCAATAATACATTTAAAAAAAAAACATGAGCAATACATTTTTGAAAAAAAAATTAACAGCAAGACATTTTTGATAAAAAATATTACCAGCAATAAAATCTTGTCGGCATTAAATAACCCATTGAGGTGTTGATATGCCGTAAAATAAAACAAACCAAACAAAACCTGATGATATGTGTTTCCTTTTCCTTTCCATATTCTCTAAAACTTTGTCGTTGCTCACATGTTCGGTTCATAGTATCCTCAGCATCTTTTTGTAAGTCCACATTTCTATTGCTTCAAGTCTTCATTTCTGAGGAGATTGTCCAACATTCACTGCAATATAGGAAAATAGATATCACGTAACAGTTCAGTACGCTTTTTCTTTGTTCCTAACGATGTTTTTTTCCGTTTCTTAATACTCTGCTTAGCTTTTGAAATGCATCTATCGCTATCCAAATGCGCCTTCTTATTAAAATAAGCGGCGCTAAGTTGAGTCTGATTTGCAATCTCTTCGTCACCGAGGCCCATTTGGAACAGTTGGTATGATGTTCGCTTGACAATCCAACTGTCAGGGTTTCAATTCTCGGTAGTGGATGCGCACTGCTGATGAGTCCCAAATATAGGACGAAACGGCCGTCCAGTGCTTTCTGCATTCTGTTGAGGTTTCTATCAGACTCGATGAATTAATTAAATATAATTATCAAATCCTCCTACTAATTACGATCTGCGATTGAAATTTGTACATTCATGCTATCTTTTATTTCAACATCTTAATTTATATCCGATGAAGTTTCTTTTTCTTTTTTATTTTAGATTTGATGCTACCCGGACTTCTGTAGTACAACATGAACAAAGATCCGGATAAGAAATTGTGGATGGTTTCAGCTTTCCCAACTGTAACCAGATCCCAAACTGTCCAGAATCGAGACCATTGGTCAGCATCAGAAGATGGGGATTTTATCGCACTCAAAAATGAGCGAGAGGTAAGAAAATGAATCCGTGTTGTGTATTAAAAATGTTTTCATACTTTGCATCCAATGTCAGTCAATTATTCTACAGGGTGTGTCCTTAAAGGCTGGACATATAGGAAATCTCATTAACTATATTTTTTGTCTCCACAGATTAAACATGGTTGTTTGGAAAGTACATCAATGTTTGCATTACAAATGATAGAAATCATATTGAAAATGTTATTTGTTAATATTCCAATTCAATAAAATGAATTAAAATTAAATAAACTTTCTTGAAAATATGCATTTTTGCCTGCGTCTAGACTTTAGGGACATCCTATAAAATAAGTAAAAAGAAGGACAGAAGAAAAGCGGACAAAAAAATTCAATGCGATATTTTTGGCTATCACTTCAAAAGGATTCAGATCATTGGATATACGTTGTGATGTCATGGATATTGGCTCAGGGTGAGAGCTCGGAGAGTCGTGTTCGAATTCCAGTCGAGTTTATTACTTTCATTTACGCGAAAATTCCCTTGGGAAAGGCATGAACCCATCTCTTCTCCCTTTAGTTATGGATTGAATAGCAGGACAGACTAGAGTCTTTTGCCTTGACTTGTAACCAGTCTACCGCAGAAAGAAATGGCAAGCTGCTGGAAAAATCTGCCTCGTCAGTCATGTATCGAAAGATACATGATCGCTCAAGTGTGTATTACTTGTGGCAGTTGACTGATTAGTATCAAAGACAATGTCATCGTCGGTCCCATCCATTGTATTACGGCTAAACGCACTTCCTAAATATCACTTCTAATTTTTACCCATCATTTCTTCACCTACATGCACACATAAGCAAGCGTCGTTTTTTTCTTTGTCTAGCTATTACGTTATTACGAGTCGTAGCAAAATCTTCCTGCTTCATCTAGTTGTCCCATTCTTTTGTTAAAGAATTAAAAAGCTTTTTAATAATAAACATCGAATGGTGCACATTAGTATTTGAAAGTCATGCTGTTTTTATAAATTACATATTCAAATCAACTAAACCATGCATACCTATTTTAATACCTGTACACATTACTTATCTATCTTATACTAATGTATGCATTAAAATACTGTTAATCCATAGAGTGACGTGATCCTCATTTATAAAACTGTTGTCTGTTGTTTCCAGTTTATATTTTTTAAAATGCAAGTACTTTCGAATAATCCTTTATTCATCGTCAGGCATATGTTTTCCTTATAAAATCAAAAACTTGGACTTCAAGCAAGTTGCCCTGGATAGAAATAACTAGAGATATTTGTGCCAGCGTAGTATCAGAAATTTTGAAAACAGTCATATTGACCGGCTAAGAAACGAAAGACAAGAGTGAGAAGTATCAACAAATACTCTTGTGGTTATGTCCCGAGATCTTTGCTGTTGCACAATATGTGGACTTGTACGCAGGTCACTAGTATCACTGAAGTGTCAGATACGATACAAACATCAGAATTTCATAGGTCTGAAATCGACGGAAGTGCCCATCATTATATATATATATATATATATATATATATATATATATATATATATATATGTATTTATATATATATTTTCATTCATACACGTTTCATTAAATAATATAGACAAGTGTTGTCTATTTATTTGATGTAAATTTTTTTTCATAACGTCTAATAAATTTAATAACATTATCATTGAACGAAGAAAGAAATTCACAATATTGATCCATATTTTTTAATACAATCTAAGCTTTCGGCTGACATAATCCATTATCAAAGATGTCAATTACAACATATTAAGCAATATACGGAAGAGACAGTGATGATAGTCTGTCATTGTTTACATAGATGATTTCTAAGCAACGATAAACAAGTGCTAGACGCTAGAAGCGAAAATCGCACCGCATCTCATGACGTCATACATGACCACGCGAGAGTGAATTGAAGAAGTATGAAGTATGGAAGGCCGTTGGTATAAACCAATGGTTTCTGTTACCAATTATAGACATTTAATGATATTTGTAGAGATTCCATAATTGATTTTGTTTAGGTTGGGTTTCAACTGTTTGATGTATAATGCTTCAAGGATTTTTAGTTTTTGTCTATTGTTTTCATGTCGAAGTATAATTGTGTTTTCGACAAATATTTTACGAAATTGTGTGTGCGGCCAGGCATGTTGTTTTAAATGCCTAAAAATGTTAGAGTTTTCATTCCAATATAGTGTCAAGCGTCGTGAAAGCGAGTTTGTGGTGTGACCAACATAAATATTATTTAATTCGTTGGAGATACAATCTCCCAAAGGGCACTTGAATTTATAAACTATGTTGGTTTTTGCAATATATATATATATATATATATATATATATATATATATATATATATATATATATATATATCTTGTATGTATAGGACGCAAGCAGATTTTGACATTATAGTTTTGAGTAAAAAGTGCATCTTATACACCGGAAAATAACATTATTTTCTCCATCTTTTGTTACACGCTAACAATTTGATTCTTCTTATCCTATTCCCCCTCTCTCTCTCTCTCTATACTCCTCTATTGCTCTCTCTTTTTTGTTAAAAGCCACATAGGTCGAAATCGACGGGAGAACATCATTATATATATATATATATATATATATATATATATATCATACAATAGGAATTAAGATTACATAAAGGTAATGATCATTATCATCTTGTAAATTGAGGTAATTTACATGTATTTTCAAACCAGTCAAGGATGATAAATTAATGAAATAAAAATGGCCATATATATATATATAGCTGCTTGGCCATCATACGTCTAAAACGACTGGAGAATCCAGTATATATATATATACGACACGCACACAAATATTTATGTTCTCAGATAGATTGTATCTGTAGAGGAGACAAAATAAATAAAAAGAATAGTTTTTCCCCTTGTCTGTTATATATATATATATATATTGTATGTATAGAACGCAAGCAGATTTTGACATCATAGTTTTTAGTAAAACGTGCATCTTATAAACCGGAAAATAACATTATTTTCTCTCTCTTTTGTTAAAACCTACCAATTTGATTCTTCTTATCCTACTCCCTTTTCTCTCTCTCTCTCTCTCTCTCTCTCTCTCTCTCTCTATGCACCTCTACTTCTCTCTCTTTTGTTACAAGCTACCAATTTGATTCTTCCTATCCTACTCCTTTCTCGTCCTTGCTTTCTCTTTCTATCCCCGCTCTCTTTCTCCCACACACAGATTGTCTTTGACTATTATTATAAATATTTTAATGTGTCATTAATGCTGATATATTTTTCTCCATTTTTCTTGTTTTACAGAGAAAACAGGCAGAGAAGAGAAGGAGTGATATGCAAAAGAAAGTAGTTGACTTGTTTAGCAATTTGCGAGCTGCAGCCAGGTTCAATAGTAACCCGAATGCAGCTTCCGAAACGGTTGACGGGCAGAAGCAATCGAATTTAACCTTTTTCAATGCTATCAGCATCGGTTCACTGGAAATGGTTAAAGAAATGATTGACACACAGAAGATCAAGCTCCCAGAACTAATTCTAGATGACGAAAGTCAGCAACAGGCCTTACACTACGCGCTCGAAGAGAAACAAGAGGAAATTGCCAAATATTTCATTGACATCTGGGACAGCCATTTGCTTTGCAAGAATTATAATGTGAATGTGAAGAAAATATCTGGTAAAAAGAACGCACTTCATCGAATCACAGAAGAAGGGTATGTCGAACTGGCCAAGGTGTTTTTGTCACGATTGGATGAGGAGAATCGAAAGAAAACCATACTCCAAGAAATTCCAATGGATATTTTGGGACAAAGACCGCGGACATTATCATGTCTCCATCTGGCAGCTTATATTGGTTCTATTGAACTTATAGAACTCTATCTGAATCAAGGCGTTGAGGTCAACAGTCAAAATTCCAAAGGTGACACAGCTCTGCTTTGGGCTGCCAGATGGAATAACACCGGAGTAATGGAGACACTTTTGAAAGCCGGTGCTAACCCAAATATTGGTAATGATAAAGGATCCACGGCACTTCACTGGGCAGTTCGATACCAACATGTAGACGCCGTGAGAATCCTTACTGCAAATCCATCTATCGAGATCAACACACAAAGAAAGCTTGGACTAATTTCGCCCATTATTCTCAGCTCAGCGTTGGGCAGCGTCGAAATTGTTACGCTTCTCATTTACGCAGGCGCAGACGTAAACCAAAAGATACGCGGAGAGGAAAGGCCAATTCATCACGCCGCCAAGGAAGGTCATGAAGAGGTTTTGGAGTTACTCATCCGTCGTGGAGCCGATATTAATGCAGACGACGCCTTGGGAAATACGGCTTTGTTCTTGGCAATCAAAAACGATCATCCGCTTTCTGTTCACGTTTTAGTCAAAGCTGGAAGCGATCTTTGCCACAAAAACCGAGACGGCATGGATGTGTGGTCATATGCGCTTTTTAATGAGAGCAACAAATGTCTGGAGACTCTTGTTTATTGTATAAAAAAACTAATTAACGAGAAGAAAAGCAACCCCATTGAAGATATCAAAGTTCTCCTCACGAAGCAATCGCCAATATTTCAAGCAGCTGCAGTGAATGCAACAGAAAAACTCACCGCATTGGCAAGTATGGACATTGATCTTGAAACTAGAGACCACAACGAGAATACATTACAACATTATGCCGCACTACAAGGAAGGTATGAAGTAATTCGACAATTTGCTGACGCAGTAGATGTTAATTCTAAGAACAGATACGGCGAGACGCCGTTGCATTTCGCCTGTTCTATCGGCTGTTTTGAGACTGTGAAAGCTTTGCTTGACTGCAAGGCAAAAGCTAATTTAAAAAACAAGTTGGGTGAGACAGCTCTACACACAGCGGCCAATTCACAAAAAATGGATAGCAAGACAATGAAGCTCCTAATGGAATATATGATAAAAACCCATTCTTGGGACAGCCTTAACGAAAAAGACAAAAATCTACGAACAGCTATACATGTGGCTGCCCTAAAAGCCAAACCGGAAGTTATTTGGGAATGTCGGTTTATTAGTTGCAAAGATGTAGATGTGGATGGGAACACACCATTCCATTTGGCTGTACGTCAATCACAGCCAGAGATCTTCAGAATGATGCTGAGTATTTACGAGTTCACGAATCGGGATGCCGACGTAGACCAAGAAAACTGCAAATGTGAGACGCCGTTGCATCTTGTTGCCCTCGAAGGCTTCAAAAAGAACACAGAAAAGTTAATTTATTATGGCGTTGATCTGCGAAAACGAGATTGCAATGGTAACAGCATTCTGCACAAACTCGTTGAGGCAAGTGTGGAAGACGCGACAAATATGGAGAAACATTTAGAAATGATGGATTTGATCCTTGACAAAGCGATAACTTCCTATTGTATTCGGGAAGAAATAGACTATCCTAGCAACGACTTGAATAAGATGGCCCAATATCGCTTCACAGCGCTTATGGAACTTCTGTTTGATAATAAAAATAATGAAAATCTCAGTGTGTTTGATTTTGCGTGTAAAATGGCCGCTAAGGAAGCTCTCGAGAAACTGTTGATGCTACAAGGTGTAACCCGATTCAGTATAAGCAATCAGGAATATTTTGATATCACACATATGACTCCTAGAACCAATGACTCTCTTGAAAGTTTCTGTAGTCGAAGAAAAGTTAAACCACGCATATCTTGCATCGAATGGTTGCTTAGTGTCGAGGACACTGAACGAGCATCAATGCTTCTGGATATTCCACCTTTAAACGTGGTCGAGGAAATGTATGGTCGAACGTGTAGTTGGGTTTATTTTATTTTAATGACACTTCATATTATATACATGGGATTGATCAGCTTCAATGCTGATAGACTCGAGAAAAAAGCACAGATCGCAAACGTGTCTGATGTTATCATCATGGACGATATGGAACATATAATATTCCACGGTGTGACTCCCATAGAACCGATTATCATCTTACTGTGTAGTTTCTTGGCTATGATTCGTTCTAACAGTATTTGGCACGTGAGTCAGAAGGGCTTTTTTCGCGAGATCTGTTCCCTGAGAATGGTGTGTTATATCTACAACAATTATACCCCTTTAGTTATTATGCTGCTGTTTTCGGCAATGATAATCACATGGATGATTCTATATTTGTACCGTTTTAATGTACAGCGCATTTTGCTGTCAATTTCTCTTTGTATCGGTTGGATGATTTGCATCATTTTCACCCGCGGTTTCAAAGGGGTGCACCATTTTTGGCGCATGCTCAGAATTATGATCTTCCGAGACGGTTTAAGATTTCTTTTTCTATACGCATTCGTTCTGCTTTCATTTTCTTTCTCAATGCACGTCTTGCTTAATCTCACAAAGGGAGATACTGCATTCGGCACCATCTTCTCCATTTTCAATTTAATGCTTGGAATTACAGACACGTTTAGCGACGAACTGACGGCATCGTTGCGTAACAGCCTTCTCGTCGATTTAATTTACTCGGCCTATATCGTGTTGGGTAGCATCATTTTGTTGAATTTACTCATCGCCATGATGAATGATTCGTATCAGGCGATACAAATCCATGAATCTCTGTCATGGAGATTAGATTCCATGCGTCTTGGCCTAAATGTCGAGAAATTCATCCCTTATTTTACGAAACTATCCAGCAGGGGTAAAATAATAAAGAGAAGCTGCATGGTGCAGGGCGACATTATTCGATGGTATGTCATCTTGCCAGCAAGAAATATCAAGAAATATCAACGCAGAAGAGACTGGATTCGAGAAGAAAGGTCACAAATTACTCGCTACAAATCTAAATAAAAATGATTATAGATTCTCAACAAAAAGTCTAAAATTGTTATTTAGATCAATAACAAAAATAATGTAGTTTATTTACTATAAAGACGTTTATATCGATTAATATGACTTCATTGTGATTTCTAATCTACGAGGTATGGCAAAAAAAAGAAACGACACTATCAATAAAATTCTTATTTGCTGAATAAGCAAGATTTTATTTTTGTTTTTAAAATAATTCCCCTGTAATCAATACAGCTTTTCATTCTTCTCTCTAACGACTTGTCTCTTTTAAATGTTCAATCCTGATAGCCTTCAGGAAGTCAGACATGCCCCCACTATACTTAAAAAATGATCTTTTGAAGATCTTTATTGAAGAGTCAAATGTCACGTGCTTCTAGTTCTGGATATGTTACCTGGCTCAAGATCTAGCTAGGAGTTAGAAGTCACACGTAATTCTAGATTTGTGGGAGAGCCAGAAGACACACGACTCTAGATCAGACGAAACTTCAAACGTCACCTGACTCAATATATACTGAAGTGTTAGAAGAAAAACCTAGTTCTAGACCTGTGCTTGAGCCAGAAAGGACACGCTTCTATATACGGCAAAGATCCAGACGTCATCTGGCTTAAGGTCTAGCGAAGAGTGATAAGACAAACGTGGATTTACATCTGTGGGAAAGCCAGAAGATACACGACTTTAGATCTTACAAATATCCGGATATCACCTGGATTAAGATCTAACGAAGTGTCATAAGACACACGTGGTTCTACGTTTGTGGGAGGGACAGAAGACGCATGGTTCTAGTTTTGATGAAAAAATGGAAGTTCCGGCGGTGCTGGAACATTGTTCCTCGCTTTGTTTTTTGTTTTTCCGTCTCTCTTGAATTTCCGTCAGTTTAGCCATGAACTTTGCTCTAGGCTCATAGCGCTACGGATTTCATTTCAGAGGAGTTGAAAGGCCTCGTAAAGGCAAGGAAAAATAAGAACTGAACGTAAATTGCATTCAGATCTTGTGCAGATAATTAAGCGTCACATTTTCAGCAACATTACCTCGTTTCTATTTTACCAAATTCTGTGCGTCATTTCATAAAAAATGGGCGTAACTTATAAACAGGGTCAACAAAAAGTACTTTATTACACACACAATCCAGAACACCCACAAACACGCAGAGACGCCTTTGGAGTCTATCGAAACTGGAACGTGAGGACTGGGCAGCTCCTGCCTAAATATGACAGCAGTATAACTGTGATCTGGCTCTTGTAATGGTGGACGATAGCACGGGGAGTCGGGGATTTACTGGAATGATACAGTGAACTGACCATTTTTTTCAACATCTTTCTTGATGGATCTTATGTACAAGTTCCATTTGAGATCTGGATTGAGTCTAAGTCTCCCTGGGGGGGGGGTGAGCATCCATTCATTGTGATTGGTGATAGTTCAGAGTCTGATTGGTGATAATAGAATGTATTATTAATGAGAAACTTGTAGTAAGTTCTGTCGTTCATTTTTTTTTATATCAAAAATCTGAATTTAAAACAATAATAAAATAAAAATAAAAATAACATGGCCCATGCCTGTTAAATAAATCATTTGTATTTATGAATATATGTACATGAATTCAAAGGAGTTGAAAAGGAGTAAAAATAGTCTTTAGTTGAGTTAAAGTCTCTGGGTAGTTGATACACAGAAAAGTAGTGATTTTTAAGTAATTTGTCATCAGTAAAAAAACTGTTGTTGAGAAAAGACTTTGATCGTCAGCAAAAATTCACTGACCATCTCAGCTGATGTTGCTGGGGATGATTCTTTTGAAGTTGCCGATAATTGTTTCTTTCAGCACGTGTTTGAGTGAGTGGAGAAAAAAGCTATGTAGCCACGTCTTCTCTTGTGTTTGAACGGCTTGAAGTCAGTTGCATCTCTGCTCATGAATGCCAAAATCTGTGGGGTTTTTATAATAAATTTTTCCCGAAAGTAGTCTCGAAAAAATAGGTTTTCTCTGATTGGTCAAATATTTCGTATGGTGATGTTAATTTCTAACCAATAGAGACTTTAATTTAAAAGGTGTGTGTTGTATTATGGAATCTTTTTAGTATGTTTGTAAATATTGTCTTTTATTGGGAAGAAAATAAAGTTTGGGAGTGTTTTGATATGTTATGTATGTGGATATATAATTGTGTTGGAAATAGAGTTTATTACCGCTAAGTTTCTCTCGCCATTACTGGAGATGAAAAGTTTCTATTTTTCACATGGATTACAACTGACAAAAGCTGAAGAATGGATCGGCCGAAATATTGTCTTAACAACAGTAACTATCCAAGCGTTTGAACAATGTTTAATGTGTTAGTAACCCTTATCAAAGTTATAGTGTTAACAACAGTGACTATAGAAAAAAGCATCCAAACGAAGCATTCAAAGTTTATAAACAATACGAATAATAGATTAACTGGTGGTATCATAATATGAGGGACTTATTCAAGAGCGCAGGGTCTGCATTTTTATTCAGGCAGTTCAAATAATAGACAAAAGGAATTCAAATCATTTCCTCTGAATTAGGAAATAATATCTGCTTTTCATGTCATTAAAAATAGACAGTTAAAATTTTGCTACTGTATTTTCCCCTTGCACTACAGATGTGACACAAAAGGTCGCTGCTCAATTGATTAGGAAAATCTCACATAGAATAGAATAGGGGTCAGCAATCTTTTGCTATATGCTGACTTAGGGTTTTAAAATCATTTAGTGTACCAACAGCATACCTATTTTTATACAAGTCAAGGTCAATATACCTGTTCTACAATATATTTTATAGTCATATATAGTATATATAATTTAGTATATATTAAAATTGAAACAGCTAAATATCTTCTTTGAGTTGTAGTAGTTATTGGTTTAGAATTTGTAATGTCATTTGCGGCTGCGTGCCATTGGAAATTGCTGGGCATACCACGTGTGCAAGTAGGTTGTCGATCCCTGGTCTAGAGGATTGTAAATGGCTTTATCCAGGCCTGGAATGACTGGCAGGTTTTATGATTAGCAAAAGTGTCGCCAGTAAAACTGAGACGTGTAAGTTCCAAAGCATGCAAATGATGGCCAGAAAATGTGAAAAGTCAATATATCTATATATATATATATATATATATATATAAAGTTGTAGCCTCTGTCTGTCTGTCTGTTTGTTTGTTATAGAACTCCTCCTAGGTTTTTGGAGATAGAACCCCATAAACATATATATTCTCAAACTACGTTACCCAGAGTATTTGGCAAAGTATATTTCATCTTGATCAAAGGGGGTCCCTGCAGGGTACAAACCCCCCACTGAATTTGTTTCCCTTTAATCTAAATTAAATTTAAATTTGCCGGGTGTGGTGGATTGACTTTGTTTCCCTTTGATTTAAATTAAATTTAAATTTGAACAAGGGAATGACTCCTAAGGTACTTGGATAAATTTATTTCATTTTGATCAAAGGGGATCTCCAGAGGACACAACCCCATACTGAAAATTTTTACCCTTTGATTTAAATTAAATTTTAATTTGAACAAGGGAATAACTCCTATCCAAAACATAGAAGGAGAAAGTCAGAAGACGGAGGTCATATTGGCAAGATCATTGAGTAATACTGAAATGCATCATTTTTCTCCACAAATTATGACAATAATTTAAAATTAATCATCATTTTCTTACCAAAAAATAGGTGATCACAGAAAGGCACGGGTCATTTGGCCAGTAAATAAATAGCTAAAAACTTTTGAGATCAAGTGACACTTGGAAGGTAAGGGATTCCAGTCAGGGACATATATATAGTCAGATTGCATTCGAGATAAGAAAAAAGTCAGAATCTATACTAATTCTCCATTTTTTTTATATTAATCTATTTTAGTGCTGATGGTAAATGCAGTAAAAAAGAAAGCTATGGAATATCTGTGTAAATTTCTTCTGATTTTGGATTCTCAAAAGTATTTAATTAAAATTAGATCATTGGTTTTGGTCAACAATTGTCTTTCCATTTTCATCTAAGCCAGCAGATATCCCTATATTATTTCATTTGCCAATTTTAATATGGCATCAAAGAATTTATTAACATGCAAAAATAAATATTAATGAAACAACACATTTTTTCTGTTGCTACTGTAGTGTGGTCTACCAATGTATTAAAGGTTTACTATATTGTTGTATGTAGTTCTACATAACGATCTGAGTCATGATTTGTCTCATAGTCACTGATTGTGTCTCATGCATTCAAAATAGACTGAAATAAAAAAAGAAATATGACAGCATAAATAATAAAGTAGATGCCAAAGAATTTTATCAAACTGCCATTCCTAATGAAGAATTTGTTTCTGTATTTCTGAAAGATCACAATCTCCTTAATAGTTTGTAGAACTGTTCTATAAATGCCATGAATTTGGAAGAAAAGGGAAGCGTAACTAAAAAAAGTGTATATTTACTAGCCTATTCCTACTAGCAAGGCAATAAAGCCACTAAGATGCAATGGTTACCAAGTGTTAGAGAATATGAGAAAAACTACAATAAAGGAGAGAGAACAATAAAAGAACAAAAATTAGAAGACA